CCCAAATTTGCTAGCCCACACTGATTAGTCTTCAATTAGAATATGACTCCAATGTATGTGATCCACTGACCTATATATATACTGCTAATGCATATGATGTATTTCCTTCTTTGTGTACGAACCTCTGTCCTGCGTGGCAGTGAACAGTGGCATTACCCACATGAATCTGACCTATATATAGTGTCAATGAATATGATGCATTCTTTGTGTACGAACCTCTGTCCTGTATGGCAGTGAAAAGTGACATTACCCACATGAATCTGACCGACATATATGTATGTATGTATGCGTGTGTGTATTTATATGTACATGTACATGTATATGTGTATGTATATATGTATATGTATGCATATGTGTGTGTGTGTGTGTGTTTACATATATGTATATGTACTGTCAATGAATATGATGCAACTCTTTGTGTACGAACCTCTGTCCTGCATGGCAGTGAACAGTGACATTACCCATATGAATCTGACCTCTATACATTTATAGCTGTTAATGAATATGATGTATTCCTTTGTGTATGAACCTCTGTCCTGCGTGGCAGTGAGAAGTGATACCACCCTCAGTGTCAAGACCTGACTGAATTACTCAGAATAGGCAAACTGTACTACAAGCTCTGCCAATAAATTTGTTAAACTAAAAAAATCCGTCTGTCTGTTTGTCTGTCTGTCTCTCCCAGAGTGCATGAGACAGACAGACAGAAAGACAGACAGACAAGTAAACATAGAGTGTTAGAGAGTCTCACTTTCTGTTTACTTGCCTGTCTGTCTATCATCCTGTCTCTCTCCTACTCACTCTCTGTCTGTCTCCCACTCTCTCTGTCTCTCTAAATAAACTAAAAATTACTAAAACAACGTCATCACTGCTACCATTACCTCCACAACCACCACCATCACCACCACCACATCCCTCCTACCCAACCACAACCCCCACATCCCTCCTACCCAACCACAACCCCCACTTCCCTCCTACCCAACCACCTCCCCCCCCCCTCCCTCAAACCAAACTAACAACCATCTTTCAGTCTTTACCCGAGTGACATTCTATTAAGACTCAAACAAATTTTTTTCCCCGTCTCTCCTTTTCGCTTGAGAGATTCCGTCATCAGAGAGTCTTCTATTTTCCTGAGACTTGATGATTCATGACATTCTGAGGGACGAGGCTGGACAAGGGTACGTGTGGGGGTGGGCAAGAGCTCATGTTTTATTCAGTATGGACAGTTATCGGAGTTGACTGTGGGAGGGCAAGGTGTGTGGGAGGGCACGGTGGGTGGGAGGGCAAGGAGTGTGGGAGGGACAGGTATGTGAGAGGGTGGGTGGGAAGGTAAGGTGCGTGGGTGATGTGCTGGAGAGAGAGAGAGAGAGAGAGAGAGAGAGAGAGACCCACAAAACACCGAATACCCCCCAAAACAATCTACAACTTCACCTCTTACTTACAAATTTAATAAATATACCCAAATATACTTAAATATACAACCTCTTACTTTCCTATATAACTAAAAACGACCACTAAGAAGACAAAATTAATTCAAGATCTATAAAATTTTACACTGTCGATCCGGATTCCACACTCAGAAACGGGGAACACATGAATCCGTTTCTAAATCCAGATTGAAAAAAAACGCTCTCGAAAGCAATTAACCTAATTTAAGCTTTTAATTATTTCGACGCTGAGGTAAATAATATCCGGTAATGTGTTTTGGTTATTTTTTTCTAGTCACTGATGGAAAACAAATGAAAGTGCCATTGTTTATCAGGAGGGGCGATTTTTTTTTTTTTTTTTTGTGTCGTGTTTTTTTTTTTTTTTTGTCTAATTTAATGGGAGTAAAGTCAATTGTGGTAATGAATATATAAATAATGTTAGTTTTTCTATGTATGTATGGATGTATGTATATATTTATGTATATATGTATGTATGTTGCGTCACTATTTTCACACAGCTAAAAATAAGTTGATTCAATAACTGGTCATTAATAGGAAAAAATAGTTCGTATTAATATTTTATTGTCACGTATGAATGTTTTATTTGTACTCAATTGTTAAAAACAGCAACAACAACTGAACAACTATCACACACACACACACACACACACACACACACACACACACACACACACACATGATAAATTTGAAGTGGAATAAAGAATAAAAGAGATAGCTGGAAAAACATAGAAAGACGTGGAGGGTGTGGAGACAAAATTAGATAATTATGGACAGATGACAAGGTGGATAAAGCTAGATAGATAGATAAGAGACATATATATAGAGAGAGGGGGAGAGAGAGAGCAAGAGAGAGAGAGAGAGAGAGAGAGAGAGAGAGAGAGAGAGAGAGAGAGAGAGAGAGAGAGAGAGAGAGAGAGAGAGAGAGAGAGAGAGAGAGAGAGAGAGAGAGAGAGAGAGAGAGAGAGAGAGAGAGAGAGAGAGAGAGCAACACACAAATCATCCCAAGTAATTCTATAACCACCACCAGGTAAACACAACACAGCACAGTGAGTGACGCTCCAGTGTATCTCAACCGGTGGGGCGAGAAGGTGTAGGTCAAGGAGGGACACAGGTATACAAATAACAATTACGAATCCCGAAAAAAAAAATAAAATAAAAAAATATGTCGTTGCTTACATCATCGCTCAACTTATTTCACAACGTGTGGATAAATTAGAGATTAAATTTAATTAATATTTACCCACTTTAAAGATAATCCTCTGTTATCATTTAGTCTGAGAGGAAAGTAATGTTAATCAAGGTAGAATTTAATCAGGTATCTGTATTTGGATTCCTTCAGGGTTAAAGTGATGACAGAATATAAAATACCTAATTAAATATCTCTACTGCCCCATTCCCTCTACGTATCTCTGTGAGGAAGTCTCTCTCGCATGGCTGTAAACACGAAGGAAAACAAATCGTCTTCAACTCGAGGCAATTCTTCAGGTTGGTGGTATGTTGGCCAGTGAACCACGACCACAGGCTTCGCTCTAATGATCTGTTACGTCACTGTCATCTGTCAATGTCTTGCTCTTTCCGTGTCACTGTTTTATACCGTCACAGCCACTTCGTCATGTCCCAGTGCCAGAGGAGAAACAGTGCCAGAATGCAGACAGTGCAGAGTAGAAACAAGTGCCACTAATAACTAAATCATCATCTCATTTTTCTTATCCAATTTAGCAAGACAAATTATTCTTAACAAAATCAATACAACTTATAAATTCCTTAACGTTTTCCATCATTGTTTAAACATAATACTAAACTCTATGTAGACGTTCATGTATAATCCTTGGAAAAAGTGGGGTTTTGTTTTATCATGGGGGAGGCAGGGTTTTATCATGGGGGAGGCAGTGTTTTATCATGGGGGAGGCAGGGTTTTATCATGGGGAAACAGGGTTTTATCATGGGGAAACAGGTTTTATCATGGGAGGCAGTGTTTTATCATGGGGGAGACAGGGTTTTATCATGGGGAGGCAGGTTTTATCATGGAGGAGGCAATGTTTTATCATGGGGAGACAGGGTTTTTATCATGGGGGAGGCAGTGTTTTATCATGGGGAGACAGGGTTTTTATCATGGGGGAGGCAGGTTTTATCATGGGGAGGCAGGGATTATCATGGTGTCTAGAGATTTTTGACAAGATACCGGTAGTTGGTGTCACGTAAAATGGAAAAAAGTTGAGAACCACTGCATTATCTTTAATGTAATCTCTCTCTTTTCTATTCCCCTTTTTTCTTCATCCCCTCTCTCTCTTCTTCACACTTCTCATTCTCATCATTTTTCTCATCCCATCTTCATAAATCTTTCTCTATTTATCCTCTTCTCCTCTCTCTCTCTCTCTCTCTCATCCCCCCTTCTCATTTCCATCTCCTCCCCTCTCTCTCTCTCTCTCTCTCTCTCTCTCTCGTCCTTACGTTCTCCAAAAATCACCCGTTCTCCAGGACAATATATTCACACTCTCAGAGTAAAGTTTTTTTCCTGTGTGTATGTCTGTGAACTCTTAGGTAAAGATAGACTGGTGACAAAGAGCTTGGAGAAAGGGGAAGAGGAGGAAGATGAGGGAAGAAAGAGGAAGAAAAGAGGTAGATGAGAGAAAAAAAGATGAGGGGACAAAGAGTAGTGCTGAGAGGGAAGAAAGGGGAGAAAGATGAGGGAAGAAAAGGGAGAAAGAGAGGGTAAGTCAGAGGAAAGGGACATGGAGGAGGGAAGAAAGAGGATGAAGATGAGGGAAGAAAAGAGGAAAAAAGAGGAAGTAGATGAGGAAGGTGACCTAACCTAATTTTACTATCCTATCCTAACCTCCCCTTTCCCTCTTTTCCCTCACTCAAATAATGGGAAGGGAAGGGAACAGAGAGTAACAAACAGAACCCAAATATACTGTACACATGAAGCCAAAATTCCCTGGAAAACCTGACCATATCTGACATATATTCTTGAATCATATAATAAACTTAACTTCTCAATAGTAAACTCTAAAATTATGTTAACAAATACCAATAACATTAACAAACAAAAAAATATATAACTATTTCTCTTGACAAATAACAACAACATGAACAAGCAAACAAAATCTATAACTATTTCTCTTGACAAATAACAACAACAACATTAACAAACAAATAAAATTCTATTATACAACTAAAACTAAAAAAAAAAAACATAAAAATCCGTACAAATTGAGGTTAAAATCCCACTTGTTTACCAAAGTGTCTAGGAAATTCTGTCAACAATCTGAACGCGTGTGAAGGAATTGTCGGAGAGGGAATGATGGAACGGTACTGTATTGTGTCTTGTTGATGGTAAACAAAAACAAAACAAAAGAGTTAGAGGGAGACTGGAAAGGGAAAGTGACGGAAAAAGGATTGGGTGTGTGATATAAGTAAGTGCAGTAAGAGCTGTATGCAGGAGTTGCTTTATAAGATATTTGTGGAGTGATAATACAAATAATATTAATTTATACTTTATTTTTAGTTTACACAAAAACATAAACAAATAAATAAAACAACGGGGATTAGTCATCACTTTTGTTTTATAGCTGTTTTCAACCGGCGAGCCTTGACCATGGCCCGGCCCTGTTGGGCAGCAGCTTTACGGGCTTCTGCCACTCTGTTTGGTGCGTGCTCAGCCTTTGATTTTAGATTACCTTGGGCCCATGGGACCAAGGTATTCTTGGCCTGGTGAGTTGGTTTATTGGCCCAGGGCTTTTGGACAGCAGCTCTACAGGGCACTACCCGGGGAGCTTTCCCTCCGGTGACAGCCTGGGGAGCTTCCTCTTTGGTGACCGCCTGGGGAGTGTCCCTCTCGGCGATGGCCTGGTGAGCGTCCCATTCGGCGACCTTCTGGGGAGCGTCCCCTTCGGTGACCGCCTGGGGAGCGTCCCCTTCGGTGACCGCCTGGGAAGCGTCCCCTTCGGTGACCTCCTGGGGAGCGTCCCCCTCGGCGATGGCCTGGGGGGCGTCCCCTTCGGTGACCACCTGGGGAGATTCCCCCTCGGCGATAGCCGGGGGGGCGTCCCCTTCGGTGACTTCCTGGGGAGCATCCCCTTCGGTGACCGCCTTGGGAACGTCCTCTTCGGCGACCACCTGGGGAACGTCCTTTTCGGCGACCACCTGGGGAGCATCCTCTTCGGCTACCGCCTGGGGGACGTCCCCTTCGGCGACGGCCTGAGAGGCGTCTCCTTCGGCGACGGCCTGGGAGGCGTCTCCTTCGGCGACGGCCTGTAGGGCGTCCCGTTCGGCGACCTGTGGGGCTTCCCCTTCGGCGACGACCTGGGAAGCGTCCCCTTCGGCGACGGCCTGGGGAGCGTCCTATTCGGCGACGGCCTGGAGAGCGTCCCCTTCGGCGACGGCCTGGGGAGCGTCCCCTTCGGCGACGGCCTGGGGAGCGTCCCCGGCGACGGCCTGGGAGCGCCGTCCCCTTGGCGACGGTTTCGGGAAGGTCCCCTTCGGCGACGGCCTGGGAGCGTCCCATCCGGCGACGGCCTGGAGAGCGTCCCTTCGGCGACGGCCTGGGGAGCGTCCCCTTGGGCGACGGCCTGGGTAGCGTCCCCTTCAGCGACGGCCTGGGGAGCGTCCTCTTCGGCGACAGCCTGAGGAGCGTCCTCTTCGGCGACGGCCTGGAGAGCGTCCTCTTCGGCGACGGCCTGGGGAGCGTCCTCTTCGGCGACGGCCTGGGGAGAGTCACCTTCGGCGACGGCCTGGGGAGCGTCCTCTTCGGCGACGGCCTGGGGAACGTCCCCTTCGGCGACGAGCTGGGGAGTGTCCTCTTCGGCGACGGCCTGGGGAGCATCCCCTTCGGCGACCACCTGGGAAGCGTCCCTTTCGGCGACCGCGTGGGGAGCGTCCCCTTTGGTGACCACCATGAGAGCGTCATCTACATGGGGGCAGGGGGCCAGGCGCTTGGCGATACTCGCCAGCGAGTTAGCACAAAAATTATGTAACTTTTTCAACGTTTCTGTATTAAACAAGTCTTTTGTAAAGAATATTTTGAAGTCGAACAACTCCAATGGAGGATACACGACATATTCAAATTTATCATAACCTTTCTTAGTTTGTTTTCCGCACAGGGCGGAAAAATAATACATTACGCCATTGTCTGGGATATATTTTAGCTTGCTTACCTTCTATCGGAGGTAGACGCATGCTTCCACAATGGTTCTATTGTGGTTTCTGAGGACTTCCAAATCTTTTATTTTATCCAACACAAAGTTGAGGTTTGTGTTGGGGGGTATCTCGACACTAACACCGAAGCCCACTATTTTGATAGCACTTATATTTTTGTGCGCCTCAGCTAACTCGTCGTCCATGCGACTGAGTTGGCTAACGGATTCTTGTAAAAATCTTTTGTGTATATCAACCATTTTGTACAATAAAATTAAGTTTTATAGAAATATGATACAGGCACCCGAGGTGCCACAGGCACCTCAGGCATCTGTGAATAAATGTAGTAAGAGCCTCCCAATTACTACAGAGCTAAGTGATGCTATGAACTGTGTAGTGATGATGTGAACTATAGTGATGATGTGTCATGATGCTATGAACTGTGGAGTTATGTGTCGTGATTTATGTGTAGTGAGGAAGTAAACTTAGTAATGATATGCTGTTATGCTATGAACTGTGTAGTGATGATGTGAACTAAGTGATGATGTGTCATGATGCAATGAACTGTGGAGTGAGGATGTGAACTATAGTGATGATGTGTCATGATGCTATGAACTGTGTAGTGATGATGTGAACTATAGTGATGATGCATTATGATGCTATGAATTGTGTAGTGATGATGTGAACAATGTGTCATGATGCTATGAATTGTGTAGTGATAATGTGACCTATAGTGATGATGTGTCATGATGCTATGAATTGTGTAGCGATGATGTGAACTATAGTGATGATGCATTATGATGCTATGAATTGTGTAGTGATGATATGAACAATGTGTCATGATGCTATGAATTGTGTAATGATGATGTGAACAATGTGTCTTGATGCTATGAATTGTATAGTGATGATGTGAACAATGCGTCATGATACTATGAATTGTGTAGTGATGATGTGAACTATAGTGATGATGTGTCATGATGGTATGAACTGTGTAGTGATGATGTGAACTATAGTGTTGATGTGAACTATAGTGTTGATGTGAACTATAGTGATGATGTGTCATGCTATGAATTGTGTAGTGATGATGTGTCATGATGCTATGAACTGTGTAGTGATGATGTGAACTATAGTGATGTGTCATGATGCAATGAACTGTGTAGTGATGATGTGAACTATAGTGATGAAGTGTCATGATGCTATGAACTGTGTAGTGATGATGTGAACGATAGTGATGATGTGTTATGATGCTATGAATTGTGTAGTGATGATGTGAAGTATAGTGATGATGTGTCATGATGCTATGAACTGTGTAGTGATGATGTGAACTGTAGTGATGATGTGTCATGATGCTATGAATTGTGTAGTGATGATATGAACAATGTGTCATGATGCTATGAATTGTGTAGTGATGATGTGAACAATGTGTCATGATACTATGAATTGTGTAGTGATGATGTGAACTATAGTGATGATGTGTCATGATGCTATGAACTGTGTAGTGATGATGTGAACTATAGTGATGATGTGTCATGCTCTGAATTGTGTAGTGATGCTATGAACTGTGAAGTGATGATGTGAACTATAGTGATGATGTGTCATGATGCTGTGAACTGTGTAGTGATGATGTAAACTATAGTGATGATGTGTTATGATGATATGAATTGTGTAGTGATGATGTGAAGTATAGTGATGATGTGTCATGATGCTATGAAGTATGTAGTGATGATGTGAACTGTAGTGATGATGTGTCTTGATGCTATGAACTGGTTAGTGATGATGTGAAGTATAGTGATGATGTGTCATGATGCTATGAACTGTGTAGTGATGATGTGAAGTACAGTGATGATGTGTCATGATGCTATGAACTGTGTAGTGATGATGTGAACTATAGTGATGATGTGTCATGATGCTATGAATTGTGTAGTGATGATGTGAACAATGTGTCAGGAAGCTATGAATTGTGTAGTGATGATGTGAACTATAGTGATGATGTGTCATGCTATGAATTGTGTAGATATAATGTGAACTGTAGTGATGATGTGTCTTGATGCTATGAACTGGTTAGTGATGATGTGAAGTATAGTGATGATGTGTCATGATGCTATGAACTGTGTAGTGATGATGTGAACTATAGTGATGATGTGTCATGATGCTATGAAGTGTGTAGTGATGATGTGAACTATAGTGATGATGTGTTATGATGCTATGAACTGTGTAGTGATGATGTGTCATGCTATGAATTGTGTAGTGATGATGTGAACTATAGTGATGATGTGTCAGGATGCTATGAACTTTATAGTGATGATGTGAACTATATTGATGATGTGTCATGATGCTATTAACTGTGTAGTGATGATGTGAACTATAGTGATGATGTGTCATGCTATGAATTGTGTAGTGATGATGTGTCATGATGCTATGAACTGTGTAGTGATGATGTGAACTTTAATGATGATGTGTCATGATGCTATGAACTGTGTAGTGATGATGTGAACTATAGTGATGTGTCATGATGCAATGAACTGTGTAGTGATGATGTGAACTATATTGATGATGTGTCATAATGCTATGAACTGTGTAGTGATGATGTGTCATGATGCTATGAACTAAGTAGTGAGGATGTAAACTATAGTGATGATGTGTCATGATGCTATGAACTGTGTAGTGATGATGTGAACTATAGTGATGATGCATTATGATGCTATGAATTGTGTAGTGATGATGTGAACTGTAGTGATGATGTGTCATGATGCTATGAATTGTGTAGTGATGATGTGAACAATGTGTCAGGATGCTATGAATTGTGTAGTGATGATGTGAACTGTAGTGATGATGTGTCATGATGCTATGAATTGTGTAGTGATAATGTGAACTATAGTGATGATGTGTCATGCTATGAATTGTGTAGAGATGATGTGAACTGTAGTGATGATGTGTCTTGATGCTATAAACTGGTTAGTGATGATGTGAAGTATAGTGATGATGTGTCATGATGCTATGAACTGTGTAGTGATGATGTGAA